TCCACGTTTCAATATAATTTATGCGCAATAAAGAATTAAATAATAGTTAGTGACTGGGCAAACTCCGAGCGATCGATATACTTGGCGGTTGTTAGAGCGACTGCCTGCCGCGGTCTCGTATACCGCGGATTCGGGTGTCTCCCCTTCCAGGTTCGACAGTTTACACTCGAGGCTCACGCGTGATGCGGCCGTGCGGCACTAATCATTACAAATACATATACATCCCGCCCACCATTAATAACAATTAATCCTAACGCTTGATTGCAGATATCGCAGGCAACGCATCGGTTAACGGGAGTCTACACAATTTGTTTACGCTACGCTTACAAATTCCACTAGCAGTTTTAAGGGTCGCAACACGCACCCTTTCGTCGGTACCCTCGTAAACCTGGATTACCTTTCCTAATTTCCACCTTAATGGCGGCGCATTGTTATCTTGTATCAAGACAACATCGTTAATGGCTAAATTGTCTCGCTCGGACGTCCATTTCGTTCTGCCTTGCAGTGACGTCAAATATTCTCGGCTCCATCGCTTCCAAAAATCTTGCGCGATTCTCTGAACCGCTTGCCAGCGATCGAGTCGATTTAAAGGAATGTCTGTTACGTCAGCATCCGGAAGAGCGATCATTAAATCACCTGTTAAAAAATGTCCCGGTGTTAGGGGTTGTAAATCGTCTGCCGTGGACGGCAACTGGCAAATCGGACGCGAGTTCACACATGCTTCAATTTGTATCAACACGGTAGCCAATTCTTCAAACGTCAGAAGACTTTCTCCAATAACGCGTTTTAAATAAAATTTGCATGATTTTACCCCAGCTTCCCACAACCCCCCCATGTGGGGTGACGATGGTGGGATAAACTTCCACTCTATGTTGTGTGAAATGCAAAACTCGTTTACATCTGGCTTCTCATTTTTAAGTAGACGATATATCTCACGGAGCTCATTCTTGGATCCTACAAAATTAGTAGCGTTGTCACAATAAACGCGCTGCGGACAACCTCGACGTCCCACAAAGCGTCTAAGCGCTGCCAGAAAGGAAGCCGTGCTAAGATCACTGACCGCCTCAAGATGGACGGCCCTTGTTGAGAAGCATACAAATAAAGATATGTAAGACTTGTTAGTTTTTCTTCCGCGGCCTCGATTAACCAATGTAGTAATAGGCCCGGCAAAATCTACGCCAATTACGAAAAATGGACGAGTCGGGGTGACTCGATCTGCGGGCAACTGACCCATGATCTGCGATAATGGTTTCGGCTTGTTGCGGAAACAAGTTATGCAATCATGTGTGATTTTTCTGGCGATGATTTTCCCTTTGAAAGGCCAATATTTTTCTCGAATAGAATACAACAATGCCTGTGGACCTATATGCAATAGTCTACGATGTTCCTTTTCGAACAACAACCTCGTGAATCTACTATCGGATGGTAGAATGATTGGATGTTTCTTCTCAAAGGCCACTTGAGAGTTTTGAATTCTGCCGCCCACCCCGAGAAGTCCTCTCTTATCCACAAACGGATTGAGCGACAACAATTTGCTACTAGATCGAATTTGTTTCCCCGACAATAGGCTTGACATTTCCTCGGAAAAATGAACTCTCTGCACCGCTACAATCAATAACTGATGCGCGCGGCGAATCTCGTCAATTGTCAGACAATCCAAACTACGATTGTCGCGATTCCTTCTAACATTAAAGCCGAATCGAACGATCCAAGCCAGAATGCGTTCGATCCTTGACAGTAAAGAGTATTTATTTAATAAGAACTCCGCAACGTCATCTGAAATGCCAACGCTCACGAAGACTCGCGTACTGGAAACCCGTTCTGCCCGAATGGTTTTCTCGTCTTCCTCGGTAAGACTCAGCGTTTTCATCTTACGTAGCTCGCAATCATCGGAACGTGACAACCAATCGGGACCCTCCCACCAGATTTTGCTCTGCCTCAAAATTTTCAAGCTTGTATCCCTCGAAATCAAATCCGCAGGGTTCTCGTTTCCGTTCACATGATGCCAATGTCTCGACGGAAGAATGGACTAAATCTCAGCAGTTCGATTCGATATAAATAACTTCTGACACGATGGATCGCCGGCGATCCACGCCGTACTATCTTAGAGTCGCTCCATGCGTGCTCCTCATCGAACTTTATCTTGAGAGCCTTCTTAACGCCTTGCACCAAATGTACAAGCACCACAGCACCGCATAGCTCGAGCCTAGGCAGCGTGATAGTCCTACTTTTAACCGGTGCAACGCGTGCCTCTCGTAAATCTTCCGTATAAGCCTCCAATGCCTGACGAAGATCGTCCGTCAACGGCTCATCCCAACCCAGACTCGCTAACCAAGTCCCTTGCATGATCAACTTAGCTCGAGTCAAAATGGGTCCGATCAATCTGAGTGGATCGAACAATTTAGAAATCATTGACAAAACCTCGCGCTTGGTCTTAACTGAACTCGTTATAGGCTCGATGGAAAACTGAAACATGTCTGATTTGGGATGCCAACCCAATCCCAATGTCTTTACGGCACTTGCGTCAATCTCCAACACCGACGACTCCTCGACTCGATCGACAGCAAGCGGCTCAGGTACAACTCCCTCACGATTTGAGCGCCATTTGTGAGTCTTAAAACCCCCTTCGCGTAACAGACTCTCCAATTGTGAGACTACTTTAATAGCTTCGGGCTCGCTATCAGCTCCTGTAATAATATCGTCAACATAAGAATCCTCTAGTAGAATTCGCGATGCTAGTTCAAACCGGCTAGCCCCGTCTTTGGCTTGCTATTGCACGGAGCTAATGGCTTGATGCGAAGCGCTAGTTTGACCATAAGTCACGGTATTCAACCAATAGTCATCTACCGAATCAATCGGGGAAAAACGCCATAGAATTCTCTGATAATCGCGGCCATCCTCGTGTACTAAAACCTGGCAATACATTTTTCGCAAGTCAGCCGTGATCGCAACGGCGTGCAAACGAAATCGCAACATTAGGTTAATTATGCTATCCTGTAAATTCGGTCCCTTCATCAACGTATCGTTCAATGAAATGCCCGAGGTGGTCTTCGAGGACGCATTGAATACCACTCGCAGCTTAGTAGTTGTGCTCGATTCACGAAGAACGCCATGGTGCGGCAAATAGACTGGATTTGGTATTCGAGCGTCCCCGTTGACCTTAGACATATGATTCAAATCGATATATTTCCGCATAAACTCGGAATACAATTTGTATAATTCCGGTTCCCGTTGAAATTTCCGTTCCAAACAAATTAAACGCTTCATCGCGATGTCTCTCGATTGTCCGAGCTGAGCCCTGTTTTCGCGGAAAGGTAGTCGAACGACAAACCGCCCGGACGCGTCTCGCTTTGTTGTGTTTGCGAAATGATTCTCGCAGTACTGTTCTTCCTTCGACAACCTTGTGTTGTTATCGGTGTATTCTTCCAATTCCCAGAATTTCCGCAAAGTATCGTCTAATGATATTTGCTGCGTAACCAAACATACATGATTATTTGAAGGTTGGTGATTGGTCGTCCGACTCGCGATCAAATGTTGTGGTACTGGGCCCGACACAATCCAACCGAACTTAGTGTTTTGTAATGCCGGCAAACTATTCCCGAGTTCAATCTTACCGGCTTCCAACAATTGAAGGAAGAATTCTCCGCCTATGAGCGCGTCAATATGACCTGGATTGTAAAAGAACGGGTCTGCCAATTTTAGATTTTCTGGAATCGACAATTTTGATATCTTAATGGAAAACGAAGGCAAATTTTTGGTTATTTTCGGGACAACCAAACAACAAAGGCTCAACTCGAACTTCGACATTCGCGATTTCATCGAAATTTGACAACCGTATTTTATCGCGCAACTCATATTATTTAGACCGTTTATGGATTCGCATACGCTTTCTAATTTTATGTTTAATCTATTACACGCTGCTAAAGTGATAAAGTTGACTTCGCTCGCACTATCCAATAATACACGCAATTGATTATCGTTATTATTTGATTCGATATTTACAATAGCCGTTGACATCAGTACTTGCTTACGCTCGCCTCGGGCGTGTTGAACCGACATGTTCCCCGATGACTCGTTGTTACTGGTTGATGCTCCCATCTCCGTGTCCGCCACAGAGCTCAGCGTGGTCCCGGATGACTCCCTCGAACGGTCCGCCGAACCACCTGCCGAATCCGCTGACGAACAGGATGCCCGCTTCACGACGTGGCATAGCGTGTTGTGCCGCTCACCACACTCTCGACATGAACCGGACCTGCAATCTCTCGAAAAATGATCATTTCTGAGACAATTGAGACAAAGTTTCAATCGCTTAATTTCCCGGATTCTATCCTCAACGGGTAAGCCCAGAAATAGTTTGCACGAATAAATAAGGTGCTGGCCTTGGCACAGGTAACACCGTCGCTCCTGTGTGATTGTTGACAGTGTCGTCTTGCCTTGTGCCTTTGAATTCAACGATCGCTGCTTACTCGTTTTGTCCTTCTCGCGAATGTCGTCCTTTGCCTTGTTGACGCTTTCGCTGTCCGAAGTCGCTCGCCGCAACAGCTGACATTGCCGCTGCAAAAACTCGATCATCACGCTTGTCGTCACACCGTCCCTTTGCTCGATGTGCTCCTCCCAACGTCTTCTTGTCGCGTTGTCCAAATTCTTCTCGATCAAATAAATAATTAGATCTCCCCATGACTCGGTAGGGAGTCCCATTGCTTGTAAAACTCGCAAATGTTTTTGAATATGATCCACTAAATCTTGGATCGCACTGGCTGATTCTCGTTTCACCAATGGTAGCTCGAACAAACACTGTATGTGCCGCTTCCGAATGCCTCGCTCGTCATCGTATCTTTTTTTCAACAAGTCCCAAGCGATGGCGTAATTGTTCTCGGAAATGTCTATCGACTCGATTATTTTAGCGGCTTGGCCGCTCAACGAACCAACCAAATATTGATGCTTCTGCACATTGGTCAGATCGCTGTCGTGTATCAACGTTTTAAATGTGTCGGAGTATCGCTTCCACTCTTCCATATTTCTGTCAAATGACGGCAACTGGATTACTGGCAATTTTACGTGAGGTTCTCGTGCGGGCGTGTTAGATCGCGTACTTAATCTTTCTAGTAATTGATTTTGCTGTTCTATTATTCGTGCCAACGCACTGCCGTCGCTTTCAACCGACCGCTCGGCCATTCTCTGAATCAACGTTGTCTGCTGCTCCAGAACTTGCATCACGCCTGTATCACTGTTCGAAGTCGATGCACTTGTGGAAGGGCCTGTGGACGGCGGTTTGATCCTTTCCGCCAACTGCAGCAGAGCGGCTTTGGTCGAAAAGTATCGCTCATCAAACTCGCTTTCCTCCACTTCATCTCTTTGCTGGTATTCCTCCTCAGGTAGCAGCAATAGGAGGTTCTGCGCTACAGCCTGGAATTTCGAATGCGTGTCCTCCAACGCTTGAAGGCGGGCCGTAATTTCTCCCGGTAGCACGTTCTCCGCATCTTTCTCAGCCTTGATGATGAAGTTTCTTATGTTCGTTATTTTTCCCTTTAACCCGCTTCTTTGCTTGCGGAGATTTTCGACGCTCATTTTCCTCGTTGTACGTGCACGACAAACTGACTATTATACTTGTCTTCTGTCCCGACGAGGGCCAGAAAGAGAAAAGGATGAGGTGAAAACACGATCACGTGAACTCGAACTGACACTCGGAGTTCAGCGAGGTCGACCAAACGTCTCTCGGTTAACGACTGTTTCTCGAAGGCTCTCGAAGCTTTTTGAAAGTTTATAATGTCTGCCGAACGCACTAAATGTTCACTCGTTTTTAATGCACACCCTTGTTACTTCGGCGCGCGCTAAGACCGGCGGCTCCTCGCCGACCGCAACCGCGTGCTTCGGAACGTGCACCCTATCCGACTCGAAGGACCATTTGTTAGTACCAATGAACGTACAATGCGAATGCTGGTAACAAAAGTTTATTAAATGATAGGAGTACAATTATTCGAGCACGATGCGTACCGGTCGCGCGTACCGCAAAAGGCGGGCACTTTGTCATTTGTAAAATCGTTTGTACAGTTCACGCGTTTCGGACATCAACCTTACTTAGAGGCAATCCACGTTTCAATATAATTTATGCGCAATAAAGAATTAAATAATAGT